TGCTTTGCAGCAGGACTCAGGGAGCTCTGGGCCTGGTTAATTTGACATGGAGTAACTATATTTCCCTTTACCTACTTTCCTGGAAGAGCCCATCAAAAGAGGGGTTTTTGAAACATGCTCAAACACAAACTAACGAATGGAATTGGATTATTCACAGACAGAATGGCATATAACACTTTCTCTTCAGATAACGCTGGACAAACTGGCAGCAGCCCTCTTTTGTCCTGCCCTCTTTTTAACAGCCCAGTAAATTAATTTTCCTTCCTTAGATGTGAGTCTCCCTTGGAGAGGAGTCCAATCACCAGGCTACAGACTGCCCTAGCAGCGACCCTCTCCCTGCTCCTTCCCTTGATGTTGTTTCACTGCTCAGAAAAATAATTTGAGACTCACTGGGGCAGAGATAGAGCAACACAAGGAGGCCACATTTAAAGCCTCATAGAGAAGGCATAGAGCTGGGCAGGTAGAGAGTGTGCTTCTGTATTTTAAACAGTCACTGGATAAGCTTAAAGCTCTTGGAAGCTGAATCTCAAAAAGGCTGCTTTAAATGGCTTCTAAAGCCATCCAGCCCCAGCTCTCAGAACTGGAGAGAGAGCTGACGAATCTAGGTCCCCAATTCTACTCCAGCAATCAAAAATCTAAATGTTGCCCACCAATGCTCCCAAGCTTTTCAATGCAGCCATATGCTTCGTTTTATCCAGCCTTTTCACCAGCTTCATTGAGTTTAACTACTGATGGAGTCAGCAAAAAAGCTGCAACTTCTATTAAGATGCAGCTATGATTTTTCTGCTGAATATTAGTGGTCTTAGAAGAAGAAAATGTCTGTGCTCCTCTGTATATTTTCAAAGAGCCCTTTTGATTTACTGCACAGGATTATATAAGGTAGCACTTTGGACTGTGTTTTGCACAGGACATGGACACAACTAACTCCTGTAACCAGTACACTTAGCAGGGAAAATTGGTTGAATTCATAGTGTTCTCACCATGAGGCCAACCTTCAGCTACTACAGCTAATCATTAACACAGTTTAGCTCTGGATCTCGGGCTGAAGGCTTATACTGACAAGGGCACTGGATTATTTTTTACCTCTCATGATAGAAAGTGCAGTTTATCCCAGCCATCTTTCTTTAACAGGGCAAATTAGAGGCTGTATTTTGTTGATGATGGGACTTTTAATGTCGCTCAAAGACAAAAGAGAAGCCAAACATTATCCACTTCTAAAAGGTTTCCAAAAGACACAGTATGGCTGGGAGCATTGGTAACACACAGTTAAATGGTTGATGGACTCTGATCCAAACGTGCTGCTTGCTCTGCAGCAGTCCTGCAGCAGGGCTGCTTGTTTCCAAAAGGACAGGTAGAGGTCCAGCAGCTGAAAACACATGCCCTCTTGAAGCAAGAACACACTGCAGTACAAAAGCATTCACCCCTATACCATTTTACGCTTGTCAACTCCTGTGCTCATCCCCAAGAAATAAGAGAAATAAGGGGACAGAGAACAGGCCAGAAAATGGAAATTATGAGATTTCTGTGTCTTCTTTTCCCTAAGGACTAAACTACAGTGCCAGCATTCATAGGGTTCCAGTCTCCAAGTTAATATCCCATTCAGCAGCCACAATAATGTGTACAATATTTGGTCAGCCTACAAATAGTGCTGCACTCAACATAACAAAGCAATTAGTCAGAGCTTGATAAGGAGGTAAAAGAGAAGAAAAACTGGCCAAGCAGCAATCATATTTTATGCCTGTGTTTGATATGCATTTATATGCCCATATCTCTGTTCAGACACTTGCACTTTAGGTTTTCTTAAAGAGTGAATTCTAAAGGAAAAGCCACAAGTATTGTTAAAGAAAAACATTTCTTAATACAGTAATCTAGAGGAAATATATGCCTAAGGGACACATTTTCTAAAAAAAAAAAAAGAGAAAAAAGAAAAAAAAAATATTTCCTGAACCATATGCTGCAAATACATAGAGAACTTCTTCCTAATGGAAAGCTAAGGCTTTGTGAAGATATTAATGTGTACCAGATGGTCATTAGGTACAGAAAGGTTTCATACAAATGCGAGAAATCAGTCTATTCGCACTGTTACTAATGTGTTAGTCTAGTACACACTGAGAAACAATCTTCCACACCTAATCAAGATAAACTTTCTTCCACTTGATTTTGAGGAAGCAGGGCAGGAGCAGATCAGACCTTAATAGCCTGTGCCACTTGTCTTAGAGCTGTATTCTGCAAACACTTACTACTGGGCAGTTGCTGCTCACGTAACCAGTATCTCTGTGTCCTGTAAGTGCCAGAACAGCCAGCCCTGCTGGGTGAATTTCATCTCTGAGCAGTGGCACCACAAATGTATGAGCTAGTTAAGTTTCTCTCATAAACAGAGAAAAAACTGAAATGGCAGGCAACCCAGTCCCGGCCTTCTCACACATATCTGTTATTAAACCTTTACAATGTGCTGTATCGTTTGCAACACACAGTGGGCCTTTTTTCCCCATTACACCATTTTTACCACTCTGACTGTGTAAATAGACTTCACTGCAATTTGAAGAGGCTTTAGCATACCTGAGATGTGGCCAGTATCTCTATGTTAATATCGATTAATACCTAAACATCTAAAAAACCAACTCTGCCTTTGTTTTAAAACAAACGATCTGAAAAACAGCAGACACTGTGCTTTTCAAACTTCTTTGTTTAAAGCAAATATGTAAAAACCAAAATAGACACAGTTCTAAAAAATCTGTTTTAGGTGATTCCATTATTTGCAAAAACTTTTCATTTGGAGTGCTGTAATCAAGTAACAGAAGGAGAGTAAACGCACTTAGTGTCTACAGGCATGGATAATGATTCAGAAGGACTGCACTTCAGTAACTATAGCTCGTTCTGAAGTGCACTTGTAAAATATAAGGAGTTTTTTTCAGGTTTAAAACAAAGACAGGGATTCAATACATATTTGATAGTTGTTCTAATATGCACAAGTCATTAGGATCTCAGAGGTTAAGATGTCTGCACACTATCCTATTAACAGCTATAGCAACCTAATTAGACAATTAGAGGGAAAGGCTAAATCAATACTACAGAGGGAGAAAGGACTATGGCTAGGGGGTAAAATAAGGGCCCAGTTCACTAAGAATTGATGTTTCCAAAGGTAATTGAAGCTGCTTACAATTTTGCAGAGGAATCTAGTCTAATCTGCTTGTTTAAATATGTGGCTCTCGCACTATTTGTGTTTGACCTTCTGCAGCCAGACCTTCAGCCTGCTAGCTTCTCCTTGGGTGTCAAAAGGGATGCACTTGAACAGCCACGTGTGTGGACTTTGCACTCTACTTGTTTACAACCAGTCATGTGAGACTGCACCAGAAAAGGAAGCCCACCTGCCAAATTCAAGAGGAGGCTGATGCCAAAAATACAAACATTAAGGGGCTGGTTCTCCTTTCATTCACGCTGCTACAGACTGGCAGTAAGGCTGTTGAAGTGAGCTGATTTATAGAGAATCAGGCCTCAAGATTTCTTTTGCAACTGGACTTTCAGATGCCTTTGGATATATTTAGCCCACTGGATCCAAAATCACCCTGAGCATTCACTTGGTTGGTATTCTGGTATATCCCAGTGTTCTGTAATCTATTATGAAATACCATTTACTTTCGCATTTAACTGTACTCAATAACATTAAAATGCACCATTTATAAAATTTTCATTTTTTCAAGAAAAAAATGACACAGAGCAGTCACTACAGTAAGCAAACATGAGCATGTTTACTGAGACTGGTTTACTACCTCATGCTGGAATTTTTTCCACTCCTCACGTGGAAGACCAATAGAGGTGACTAGCACATTTCCTTTCATATTTTGCCATGGTAGGTGAAAAGAAAGACTGACTGCAATAATATCAGAATGGGTATTTTAACTAAACCCATAAAAGGAAAAGCTGACTTGCTTAGAGACCACGTTATCAGGATGTACCTGTGGAGGGTCGATGAAATCATCTGTGAAAGACAGGGCATGAATGGGAACAATGTTAATGTTGGGTCAGCATTTCTCCATTGCATGTGGCCATAGGGTCCTACTTTAAGAGCTAGGTTAATTCATGGAGTCTGTCTTTGGGCTTGACATGCCTGGACAGTAAAACAGACTCCCTTTTGTTACCTGTACTCCCTGGAACTGCAGCTTTTTTCACTCTGCTGCTCACCTGAATCACTTCTCTGGTTTCCTGTCATTAAAATACCAGCTTTTGCTGAAGTCCCTACTAATATGGCAGCTGACAGGATCCAGAAACACAGCCCCACAGCTATAACTGTGCAGCCTACGAATACACTTAGAAGCAGGAAACCTAGAACATTTCTAGCACATCAGTACTATGCCCAAGGCAATTTTCTTCATCTTTACATTCAGCAATATAGATTTTATTATTACTGTTCCTTAATTACTGTTCTGTGCGTTGGAAATATAGCAATTTTCAAATGAAAGAAAGTACAAGCTGTATATACAGATGAAACCATGAGTCTTCCATACACTATGAAGTCTCAACTTGTCTTTGATTTTGTACATTCCCTTCACCATTTTTCCTTACCGTACTTTCAGACAAGTTTCACCTGCACATTTTCCTTTTCCTGGTAATAAACAACACAGGGAATTTGATTTTATTTTTACAAATGCTGAACAGCGTTACTGTGCCTCCAGTAATTTATATTCTGCTGTACTGAGATGTCATTAGTTCTGTTTTGTACCTACATATTTTGCAGGCATGAGATGAAGGGATCAATTAAATGTTCATTGCAACCACACACTAACCTACCTCTTGCTACATTCAGCCAAACATGCAGTGAATTTGCCCTAGCTCTGATGAACTGCTAGTCTTGTACAGCTTGAAAGCAACTTCACAAGCAAGCTCTTATCCCACACAGAAATTTGCCATTGACTTCACTGGGAGCAATACCACACATCCTCGTAGCTTGTGGGTAGTTGTCTTTGTTCAGGATGTCTATAAAGAGAAACTATGGCAATGTAAGTCTAGGTTTAAATTCAGAGTGATTATTTATTCTGCAGTAATTCCTCATGAGGACATTTATTCTGCACTCCAAGTACCCATGTAATCCACTGCCAAATACACAGAACAAACTGGTGGAAAGTACTGCAAGCACAGATTAACAGCTGCCTCATGGGAAAATGCTAGTCTAGGCTTGCAGAAATACTCGTCTTCAGCTTAGGTCATTTAATTTGCTATACGAATCCCTTTTTTTTTATAGACCAGGCACTATTCAGGCATTAAGATAATGCAAGCATGAATAATATAAATGATTCACCCTAGAAGTGACAGGAACCTTCAGGAATTGAGGCATAACCCAGTCTCAACTCACATGGATAACAGATTAATTTTCCTTATGAGAGATATTTCTGTAGCCCTTGCTCCTTTCCCTAAGGTATCTGGTTGCTGTAGCAGTTATGATACCAACCTGGAAGACTCAGGAGTGGGATGTGAGCTGCTATCTTTTTTTTTCCTGGGGAACAGATAAGATGCACCACTGTACCCAGGTATTCCTTTGTCTGAGTGTTCAGATGAAGCATGCTCTTAATCATGTCTGCTGGCATGCCATTAAAATAGGCCATATCTGACTTTAATTCAATGGAGACAGTTTTCAGTGAAGACTAGAAAAGAGGGATTGAAAATCAAGAGGTATGACTTAATCCTAGTTGTGATTAGTGAATCAGGCCCTCAAAACCAAGACAAACCAAGTAAAAAGCCTAACAGCTATTTGAGTACAGGAACTACTAGCTAACACAAGGATGTGGGGAGAATTTTTAAAAACACCCGTAAACTGACCATACACCGTGTCGTAAGACATTTCATGATCAGGTGAAGCAGTTGAAATGTCTATGAACAAAATAAATTGGGAAGAAACATTAAATAAAACAAAAGTATGAAAATACTTATAAGTTTAGTAAAAAGTGATTCCTCCAAAATGGATTTGCTGTCAGTAAATAATGAAACTAAGAACTTCCTTACCATTCAGGGCTACGAAGGAATCTGAAAGACAAATAACAGGGGAAAAATCATTATTTCACTCTCGATTTTTCTTTTTAATAGTTTGCTGCTAGCAACCTTTTATGCTTCAGCTGATATTTATATGTATGTGATTAGTACCCTAAGGACCCAGGCAAAACTAATATTCAGACACACCTGAAAACAATGTCTGGCTTTGAAAGTGTTCATGACCAGCCCTGTGCAAGGGACACCAAGTGAGAAGGAAAGTGTCCTCCCTGCCATCACTTTCTTTGCCAGACGAAGTCCTAATCTAATGCAAGGCACTACAAGTGATGCAGTCAGCAACGTGAGTCAATGAGGTGAAAACTCACATGATCCAAGACCACATGAAGCAGTAAGATCAGCTGGGTTAGCAGGGAGTGAAATCTACCCCTGTGCAGTGTCAAGGTTCAGTACATCATTCAAGGCTAAAGAGGGATTTAAGCAGGGTATGGGCTTTGTTGCTCTCTGCACAGGAGCAGATCTTTCTCCATGAGCACAATGTGCTGTTTCTGAATAATTTCCTACCCTTCTTTTATATTTAACATCTCAGGTACACTCCACTCCTGTCTAACCTATTTGTCCAAGGAGAGCAGAACTGGCTAAAAAGGGCAAAGTTGCACCAGCTGGGAACTGACCTAATTTTGGCGCTAACCCATTTTACAGGGAGCACAGGAGGGACTATGTATATACCACCTCCAAAAAACTTAGAGACAGTCTACATAACCCCATCTTAGGGCAGAAGCAGAGGGAGGTGTAGCTGAGATGGGAGGCATGCAGAGACTGAAATCCTTGTAATCCCTCAAGCACAGGGATCACAGTAATAAATGGCTCTTGAACAAAGATGTACAAGGCATGAGAAGGCTCTGGCTTTCTCCAGAGCAGCTGGCCTGCATTGTATCCCACAGCACACTCTAAACCCTCCATTATTTTGCTCTGTCTTCCAAAGGTAATGACTCTTTCACTGTACATTACTTCCTCAGCTTTAGTAGTTTTATTGCATCTACAGGCATCAGTGCAAATTGCACCAAAAAGAATGTGATTCTTGCTTTCATAAGGTTTATAAATAATATTTGGGGCTCAGAATTAAATCAACCTTGGCAAGAACATTTGGAACAAGAGCTGTCCTGATCCTGAAGGCTCAGAAATCAGCATGCAAGGTTTCTTTGCATGCAGTGCAAGCTGTGCACTTTTAAGCACCTCTGTGCAAAACCTAAATGTTTAAAGACTGTGCTTAAGCTTCCAACTCACTCTGTCAGTACCTAAGGTTTACCATTAAAATTTCTTAGGCAGGATCAGTAGCACCTGACCCTTAATACCACTATGTCGTCCAGCCCGTGTGTAAAATCCACTAAGATTCATAACTATGTAGTTGCCACTTCTTGATCCAGATCCAAAGCTGAAGATGTATTTCACTGTCTCCCTGTCCTGCATGGGAATGTAGTCCAAGTCACAGCCAACATCAAGAAACCAAGCCACTTCTATACATCTACATAAACAACTCAGCCACCATGCCTAATAAAGACAATGAACACTCAATTCATTATGTCATTGCTATAATCAATATCCTCTACATCTGAGGTTTTCTCACTACATAACTGCTTTGAAGTCTGGTGTTTGTATAAATCACACCAACTGGGCTACTTTTTTAAATACATTTAAACAACCGTTCCTCTTCTGAACCTGCATCATCAGCCACAGTTGCTGTCCCTGTTGTGGCTTACATTGCTACAAAAGAATGCCTGACAGGTAATGGTGATTTGAGGCATTGAGAAGGATGCTATGACACATGGTAAACAGAGGGTAAAAGCTTTGCTTACTTTGGCAGTCACCCAGGCCATCTGTATTGCCATGTTCTATGTCCTGTTCAAATGCAAGTCTAAATAATAGAAAGAAACAAAATAGTATGAATAACAACAGTCACAGGCACTACCAGAAAGAAATTATCACATGTGCAACTGAAATAAAGCCCCACTGTGAAACTGGCCATTTCTCTGGAACTTCCACACAAAGGGTGAAAAAATTGCAACGTAGACATTCGAGTTATTCATCATTACTTAATGATTTCTTGGCTTCTGATGATGCTTTGTCTTTTTATTATTACTTTCTTTTTTAAATCCACTACATGCCTCATTGTCAAGGGAGGCAAACAGATTTGTAATTTTTAAACCGTTAACTCTACAATATACGATATTATCAGGAGCAATTATGATCCTACCTTAACTTGTCCATAGAGTAGACAAGGTGCACCGATACTTTGATGTAAGAAGGAAGCTAACCTGTGGGGTAGGTGCTGTCCTGGGGGAAGACAACCTGCATTTCAGCAATCATTTATGTACTGCGCTGGATGAGGCTGCAAGGCGTAAGGTCCAGTCCACAGAAGGCATTCCACTGAACTCAACGGGCTCTACTGAAAAATACTCACAGGCTTTTCTAGCTGACGTGCCCAGTTTACGCTCCTAACCTCTGCCTGTGATTTTGGATAACTAGTGAAGCTGTTCTTCCAAATTCCTGTACAGTCAAAGGTGAATGACAAGAACCTTGGAAAACTTCCAACACAAGCCCTTGTCTACATTAGTTAGGATCCTGCCCTTGAGGCATAATTACCCTTGCAGGCACCTCATTCCCAGCTCCATGTTCTTAAAACTCCTGCTCGACTGTCACCTACTCCAGCAGGGCACCTAACATCTCTGCCTCCAGTTGGCTTATTTAGAAGTTCACCGGACATCTTCACAGCTGATCTGGATCCCCTTCCTAAATGCTATGCACTGGACAGAGAGTGACTTGCCTTTCTCACCTCCAGACTGCATGACCGCGAGCTGCACTGCCTCTGTCTCAATGGATCTATTGATAAACACGGGAGCTGCTTTCAAAAGCAAGGTATGGAAGTCCCCTACAAACTGTCATGGAAATGCAAAGACTCAAGCACTTTGGGAACGCTGAAAAAACCCGATACTGACACAGGTGCATTTCAACATTATTCTACCAAATGTGCAGTCAGGAGCAGTCCACACTCTTGTAGTAAAGCACATACAGACAGACATAGCTATAGCATCCCCAGTGGATCAAACAATTTGAATTGAAATAGCAAATTAAGAACAAGACACAAGCACAGGTATGGTAACTCATCCATTATATACTGAAGACCTGTACAGAAGCAGGGTCAAGTGGGGCCAGCTGTGGGGCTGTCAAGGTTATGTGATGTTTATGCTACACTTCCACCACCACCTTGAGGAAGTATAGCTGTACCTAAGGGTGGGCAAGCATGAGATGTGTCAGATGTGGCCAAGAAATGCGAGCTCTGAAGTGAGTCTGCTCCCTGCAAAGAGGCTTTAGTAACCATATTTAAGCAAACCTTCACAGACTTTCATCATAAAATAATTAAATTCTACTGTTAAGCAAGGGGAGATCCAGCACTTCTCTGAATCTGCTTTAAGCTCTTACTGTGCTCTGTGATTCCTCTCAGTAATGCACAGTAAATTAGAAGGACTGGTTTTGTTTTCAGTGGACAAATTGCTTCAGTAATTTAATTTGGATTCTATTGCCTCTTTAATCAGCTGTGATGGCTCCAGTGTGGGCTGGTCCAGACATACTCATCCAGTTCCCTCCTTTCAATAACACGCAGACCTTAGTACAGCTCTTTCATTTTCTTCTTCCTTCTCTTTCAGCAGTTACCAATCAGCTGAGAGTTCACATAAAAAAAATTTGTGAGACATTTCAGAGATGAATGCAAATAAGGTAGAAACAAACACTTCCCGCATTTTTCCTTCCCTAAGAGCCCCATGTTTCAAACAGCTCTGCCCAAGACTGCCCGGCGCCACTGCCAGAGCTTCATGGACTGTTCAACCAAGAGCCCACACTCACTTGGAACCAAGGACCAGCTGTGTGCATGCCCCGCTCTCCTTCACCCATCCGCAGTAGGGGTCTCTGGATGCTATGCAGGCCCTTGAGAAAGAAGAGCACAAGGTGGCATTCATGAGCACTCCTGCCTTCCCCATGCCTGGTGCGCGGGCTGCTGACAGCTGCCCGAAAACACATACTTTTTGCATTTGCCGTGACGCTCGCAACGTCCCAGGGGAACCTTGATGACACAGGTGGAGAAGGCAACATACAGGGCACCGCTGGACTTGTCAAGCTGCATGCCCACGATCCGCTTGTCCTCCATGCTGTCATAGCTGCACCTGATTTGAAAAAAGTGAGGTAAGGTTATAAATGAGTTCTGCTGGGAAACCAGATGGAAACTTAATGATTTGTCAAGCTCATGCCCCCCTGACAAAAAAAAAAAACCTCCACTAAAAAACCCCAAGAAAGGTAGAATTGAACAAACCAAGGAAAAAGAACACACAATAGCCACTAAAAATACTGACAGACATATAAACAAGTATTAAAAATGCATGGGACAGGGGAATAAGAAGTGGAGAGAGGCAGCACATCAGACAAGCTTTCTGAGGGCCCTTCATTTTTTGTGTTTATTCTTCTCCAGCACTCAAAGTAGCTGAAATTTCTGCATGATTATGGCCCACTTCAAAGCTCCCTTAGGCATATTTGAGGAAGGCTGAAATGTGGGAAATTTCCCTTGGAGAGCAGCTTGCTGGTTGTTGAGTTATTTGGACAGGAATCAGTTTTTTTTTATAGGATTAGAAAATTAATCTTCCTTTGTAGAATTTCACTTTTAATTATCCATCAACTGCTGCATAAGATGGGCTATTTTCTACACATACTAAATTAAAAATATCTTATTGCAATGTAGAGAATGATAACCAGACATTCCCTCCCCAAACAATTTAAAATTACTCAAAAAACTTGGCTTCTCTAACCACTTCCCTTTTCGTGGGACAACCTACTCTCCGGGAAATCAGAAGTTCAAAGTCACCCATACATGAGTACACAGAATCAGATACACACTTTTCAGGATTGTAAATGTTCATCTCCTCCAGGAACAAGCTGTCATTTAGGAAACCACTGTTTCCTGTCCGCGCCAAGAACTTCAGGATGATTCCCTTCTCTGATCCCAAGAAAACCACGGTGTAGTTCTGATACGGCCCAGCAGCAGAGTCCACAGCAATTTTGGTTAGGCGGTATCTAGAATAACAATACAGCATTTTGCATCACTTACTTGGGATTCGATTGCTATTTATTTTATCACTTTTTCCACTTCAGATAACTGTGTCGTAGCCTTCTAGCAACCATAACATATTTAAACACTTTGCCTAGCTGAATAACCCTATAAGTCAACACAGACTGTACCAGTTTGGCTCCCCAAATGGTGGGGAATTTCCGTGTGTTTGTCTGCACATCCATATGTCCAATAGCTGGCAGAAATAGTGTTTGCAGAAAGCTGAAGGGGTGCTAAGAGTTTGAGGCCATTTAGGAATTATCGTTCCAATCAAAAGCAAAGTACTAGCCTGGTGACTTCTTCAGGCAGGGAAAGAAAATCAGCACAGTGAAATTATTCTTAGTTTCAAGCTCTGTTACATTAAAAGCATCAGTAATTATAACTGATCTACATTCAACCTTTTTGGCAGGAAAAGCTGTGCCAGTGCAACAGTAAGACACTAAACACCATTTTACCTCCCTAGAAATAATCACACAACTGCCACTAAGCAAGTTCAGTGCTGAGATGATATCCAATCTTGGGATGACACAATTCACTGAAAACCAGTATTGATTTGGTACCAGTTACCTGGTACTGGTGATCAAAGGAAAGTGCTCTGGAGAGCTTGCTGCTCTCATCTTTGGTTGGAGGTACAGAACCTGACATAAAAACCTGACAGAAGGTACATTACTAAAAGTTAGACCCTTCGAGAGCTACACACTGCCTAGCACAAAACTCTGCCCTTGTACGGAGGAAGAGAGGAAATTATGGCAAAAGTTAGTCACATTATTCTGGTCACAACTGGAGGGTACATAGGCAGTATAGTAAACACAGCAGAGAGTGGGAATGTATTTTGATAGGGAGGGGATGGTGTATTTGAGGCTTGCTGATTTATGAGTCTTTGTTCAAATCTCTTCATTATTATTTTTCTCCTGTTGCCATAGAAAGGATACAGATTATGTGATTACTTCTGCCTGTACAATTCTATAAACATTAAAACATACCAGTACATAACCCGATAGACATCTTCATATCCTGTGAACATATCCTGGCAGACATGTTTGTATCCTGTGTACATATCCCTGGGCTGTCTGCTGATCCTTGCCCAAAGTCTTCTACAGAGCTGTCTCAAACACTGACCCATAAGTCAACAGGCGGGTCAACCTAGCCTGCACGGCATTTCCTCCAAGATCCGGTTTCAGCACAGTGTGGTTGGAAAGGACTGAGGTTTTTTCCTATCTTGAAAGCTGCTCAAGGAGTTCTGCGGCATCTGCTCAGTGCTGCCATCATTCCTGGCTGGATTCATGCCCAGCACACCACGGATGTTTACAGAGTTTGAGAGTATTCTGAGTAAGACTATTAGCACAACTTGACAGCTCTGATGAGGACAAGAGTCCTCTTGGAGGTACGTACCTGACCATCGTTCTCAGGAACCAGGGTCGATTGACAATGGAAGGTACAGCTTCGTCCATCAGTGGATGTGTTTTGATGAAGTTCAGAGTATCATCTGGGAACTCGTTAGAGGTTGCATATTTTTCTAATGATGTAGAACCAGCACAGTAACCAGGCCTAAATAAAACAACAGGGTACAGTCAGAACACTTATTTGATGCCTAGTGCAAATTTCTTTTTGTAATGAGGCCCTCAGTGGAATCTGATGTGCATTACAAGGGTTTAAATGGAGGATTGAGAAATCTGGTGGACTTCTTCAGCCCCTCGGGGAAGCCTAAAATCCTGCTTTGTCCTCCACTCAAAAGGACTTAACATGTCACCTAAAAGGACAAAGACATTTCTTCAACAGGAGTGTGACACACACAGTTTGTAGTTCATCCACTCACATGGAACCTAATCACTGCATGTGTGCATTCGGCTTGATGCTGCCCACTGGCACAGGTGCTTTCTGATTTGTAACTTGCCTAGTTGACTGCTCTTTTCCTGGAATAAAAGCAGTCCCTAGCATACAGAAGTAAGTTGATGTACTGCTGCTTCCAGTCCTGTCTGGTAGAAAGTGGACTATTGTAGAAGACAACCCAGCGAGCATCCATGTAAACACTGGTTTCATCCTTCTTTCAATGTGGATGAGACGATTTAAATATGGTAGCACATTGAGGACGTTCGCTAAAATGTTACGTAATTATTCTTTGACAACTTAAATGCAAATCTGCTCACCCTATTCCTAAAATCTACCCTGCTTCTCAGAGGTAACTTAACCATCCCGCCTGGACAGGTCATCTCTACACAGGAAGCAGCAAAATGCTTTGCCTGTTACTCATATTTTGTGGGTTATTTTCTCCAACAAAAGATCCATTTGATCCCATTTCCTAGAGCGTTGTTGTTCGTTGAGCCTTTGAGCCATTGTGAGATGGGAAGATGAAAGATGGACCACCCACTCATGAACATGCTGCACTGTCCAATTGTCACTTGCTCTGATTCAGGTAGAGCCACTGACGTCAACGGAGTAATGCCTACTTGAACAAAACATAGCACTGGTCCTATCATATCTGTTGGTCAGATTTAGATAAACATTCAAACCTTAGGTAACTAAATGTTATGGAGGAAGGTAGCACAGGAGTGGAGTGGACTAGCTGGGTCAATGAGTCTGGTCTCACACAGCTGCACAATGAATGCCACATGCAGAGACTGTGTGTTCTGCCTCTTTGTATCCAAAATATTTTGGTTGTCTTGTAACTGCATATAGAATTAGCAATAGAGGGAGAGAACAAGCAACCAAGAGCATCATCAGTCAGTTAGGTCCTTGCAAGGGCACTGATTCATGAGGTGACATTCCCAGAGAACTCTAGGGAGCAGCCTATGCCTTCTGGCACTGTGGTGCCTAGGTTTCTGTATATCTAATCTGGAGGCCTATTTCCTCCTAAATCCTAATCACATGATTAGATTAATCCTGTTTTAATCTCAAAACTGGTTTAATTGAGTAAACATAAAACCAAATAAATCCTCCTGTGCATCTTGGCCAAAAAGGGAAGTGAGGCCGCTGAGAGGCTTTGGTATGTTTCTGAGAAATGTTAGGATCAATAGGAGCACTACTGTTTCTGCACCACACTGAGATATCCGAATAAAAACAACCTTATTTCAAAGGCATCTTCTGCCTCTCATGCATTTCAACATGAGTTAGAAGCAACTATTATTTCTATTAAGCAGATTGATGGTCAAATGTTACATGAAACAGCATTCACCAATTCACTTTGAGTTATCTCCTGCTGGCTTAGAAGAAGCAGTATTATCCTGTCGTCATCATAACTGTTAGCCTGCTATTGGCTCATCCCACAAACTCATAATGCAACTTTCTCTTCTTCCTTCCCACTGAATGAGAAGATTTCTCTTTCTCCTTTCCCATTTCAATGCCAATACTCTCTAAGTTCCAAACAACCAACCTTGGAGCCCTCGTGCAGCCTTGCACTACCAAGGCAGCCCATCATGTCAACGAGTTGTTGAAACACTGCAAAAAGGAGAAGTAAATCCAGCAACAATGCTAGCAGGTGCCTTATTAAGGCTCAGACTGAAAACAGACACAGAATTTAGCAGATTTTCCATTCACCTCCAGGCTCTTCTCTTGAGTGACAACTTCAGAATAAAGTCAGCATAAGAACACTACACTCTCCACTTCTAAAACATGATGGGCCAAATTTGGATTTAGGCAGAAGCTCAGTTGCCACCACAGAGCTTCAACTGTGTTTTCCTTTGAAATTATGTAAGATATCACAAGCAATGTAAAACATACATTAAAGTGGTAGAGCTTGACTGAGACAAATGAATTTGCTTTATCTACATTCATATCATATTCTCAGAGCAAAATGCCACTGGTGTAAACGAGTTAACAAGTGGCTGTCAACAGCAACTTGTACAAAATGGGTGCTTGTAGGACACACAAAAAGAGTGTAGTAGAGGAGCCACATGCAAACAGGAGGGAAGTGAAAGCAGGAAAAACAACTCATAGGAGGAATGAAGTAAACTGAATCTCCATGTTGATGGATTGCTCTTTTTTTCTCCCTATGATGCATCTTCTGTACCACATAAATTGCATGTTAACCACAAAACAGCAAACCACAGAACTGGTGCAGGCTTTGTAATGAGTTCTATCCATTACTGAACGAATTTGCAACAGGTGTGTAACACATCACTATTAAGTGATAGATTATTCTGACCAAGTGCATCTGACGCTGGTCTGATTTATGGTACACAAATCTTGTTTCAGTGGAAAAATTCTCACTTGTATACCTTAGATTCAAATGCAACCCAGCTTCTATTTTACTGTTAACAACATGTATCTTCAATTGTATCTGCACCTTACAAGGCTGTTCAAATTACCAAACCCCTCTGTTCTGCATGCAGGAACAGAACAATATCACTATACATGAAACATACCTGGGCTTGGGCACTCGTTCATCAGGAACTGGTGTCCATGTCGAGTCTGGAGACTTTTGTTCTTTGAATCTCCCAGTAAATACATTGGCAATGTCAAGCATGTCATAGGCACAGACTGCAGAACCAGGGATGCTGCAAAGTGACATTTCCCAGAAATTGTTACTCATTCTGCAGTTATGCATAAAATCTTGAGCGAAAAACATGCTGTATAGAAGTCTTCCTGTCAGAGGCTACACAATCCTGAACTCTGTAACCTCCGAGAATTGACAGGAAAAGCCAGCCCCATGGAAAAGCCTGAAATATACCAATCAGTAGACAGCTCCTGCCAGCACAATTTGTGTCAAAGCTTCTATAGAAAGAAGTAATTGCAATAATCTTGAAGAAAGGAAAGAATCTGGGAAACTGGGTACCACTGGCAATGCATGAGGAGTAATAGCCAGTCTCATTCAGAGCCCATTATTTGGAAAATAAAGTTCTTGTAAGTCACATCTCTCTGTACTAATTCTCACAGTCCCTGTCATGCCTCAAAAATACACTGCAGACAGTTCAGAAGTTAGTGCTGATCAAACTGGAAGCATGCTGCAATGTGCCATTGACTGGGCATTTACACGTTATTACTCCATTGTCCCACAACCTGATCTCCACCAAGTTTTCCCAAGAGAAACGAGTTGACTATGCTCAGGAATTTGCTTAATTCAATGAGGTGTTAAGAGCTTACAGAAGCAAATTAGATTTTATTTTTAGATCATGAAGTTGTAAATTTCAACTTTTTGATTATTTGCATGCAACTGCACGATAGCATTGTCTAAACATAATTACACCCTTACCTACATACTTTCTGAAAGGCTTAGGGGTTTCCCATGGTCCATCATTTGGAAGCATGAATTATTCATTTATCTGCCTTTCATTTTTTACACATGAACTACTGTATTCGTGTCTGACTTTCACCACTCGATTTTATCAGGTAAATAGCATGAACCCAGCTGGCTGAGGCTTTCAATCCTGCTTTTAGCTAGTGGGTTATTATACACCCAAGCAAAAATGTAGGAACTGTAATACTGTTACAGAGAATAAAATTAAACTTACAAAGGTATATAAATTGACAGGAAAATAATTGTTTGAATATTAAAAGGTTTAAAAATGCTTATTACTGAAGGAAACAAGAAGTAGGGAGACAGTATTAGTCTTACTTTGATCTCTGCAGACTGTGTTTTTGTATGGAAGGAAACTTCAAAGCTCTATATTAATGTGATACTACACAGCAAGAATTTTAAATGGAGGCAGCCACACGTCTGTTGATGTAAGAGCTGGTCAAGAATGTATTTGGCCACACACCCCACCTCACCCTAAAAGACATCTCAAGACCCACTCCAGCTATAAGATTTTGCATGTTGCTGAATTAAGTCCTAAAGAGAAAAACCACACTAAAATCTTGAGGCGTGCTATACAGAACTAAAAGTGCTGAGAACTGTGCTCAACACATAACTACACAGTGATGGAGGCATCACTGTGGTGAGAAGACTGCAACAGTTTTTACTCTCGAGGATGGCAGTTTGCAGGTCCACACTGTGATAAAGCCAAAAGGATGGAGTGCTGTGGGTCACAGCCAAGCCATCTCCCAACCACTGGACTACAACCCATCACTGGCTGCTGCCCTGTGCAACCTCAGGTGAGACTGGGGAATCTCTTCCAGCTCACTCTAGGGGGAAGCTTTGGTCCAGAGATTGAAGACACTTGTTGCAGCTTTTCCTCAGTGGAGAAGGAGATAGATGCGTCCATGTCAGAGGCAGGTCTGCTAACGAGGTGTTTCCAATCCTATGGGCCTTCCTGTCATCTTCAATGTCTGGCAAAAAACGGGGTCTATAAAATAGTACCTTGATTTTAACACCAAGTACTTAGATTTTAAAATGTAGAGTTTAAGGAAGAGTATTATTCATGACACACTACACGAAATATTAGCAGAGTGGGAGGACAATCTCAATTTTAAAATAATCTCAAGATACAATCTATTTTCTGATGCTGGATCTCTGTTTGTTCACTTGTTTTTATTAAGCCAGTTTGTATAAAAATAGATCATCTTAATTTAAGTCTGTATTCCCTATTGGTGGCATAATTATTCCATTGCAGTTCCTATCATTTTGATGTTAAAAGCACCGATTATACATCACAGATCTGGGCTCACTCTCATTTGAAGTCAGTTCTGTGCATGACCTCACCGAGGTCAGGCTTTGACAAGAGGTGGCAAGTGTACAGCAAAACCAGATGAATTTCAGCCATAAAATTCCCCTTTCATCTCAAATGTTACTCTGTGAAACAGCAATATATTTTTTAATTAGAATGCTACTATTTTTTTAACTTCTCTGGGAGACCTCAATGATTAGACACAGTTACTCTTCTAATAACTTCTGCAGAAATATCTTATGATGTGTAACGGTAATAAATTCTTTGCAGATGAAAGGATGCTTTCGGAAAACCACATGAACAATGAAATACACATGTTCTGGGGACCCTCCTCCCCAACCAGCAGGAGAGTTTAGGGTCTTGGCTCTCCCAGGAGAAAATGCAAGAGTCAATAGGGATCCATGAAATAAACAGGAGTACTAACGTGGTTCTTGGGGGTTTAGATGCAAACAAGACAGATATAGTCCTTTCTCTGTGAGAAAAAAAAAATCGTATTTTTTCATTGGAATAACATTCTGCAAGTTACACGCTGCAAAACTTCTTGGTGGCCAGTCTGAATTATTCCCACATAAAAAAAAGTACATCCAAGAAACGTGTCCAGATGGTAAATGGCTGACAGCTGCTCTAAATTATCAGATATAAAATGCAGTAAGCAATACCAGGGTATCTTAAAATGAAACACAAACTATCGGTAAGTGCTTGGTACATAATAATTACATTGTATGTGCAATCACTTCTTGTACCTTCATAAAGTAAAAAGAAACTGCAGTGAAAAGCAAAACAGAAAGGAAACAGAAGGTAAAAGGTTATTGCGCCTATTACCTATTATATGGAGTGGAGAAGGTTGCTAAAACAACATCTCGGCCATTGAAATGGATAACATCTGTAACTGCCTGCAGTATGTTAAAGTAGAAGTGTGAATCGCCAGGAACTGAGCAGTTCAAACGAGCCTTGAGAAAGGAAGTCCACTGTTTTTCCAGCACTCTCTGAGATCCTCCCATGTCATTTTTACAAACCTGAGCCACTCTTGGGAAAACGACCTGGAAGGAGTAGAGCAAAAATAAGGGAAAAAATGAAATGATTGTTTGAACTAAAAGACGTTTTTTGAACTCTGTTTTTAAAACATTTGGAATAACACAGCAAGGTACCAAATTTAATCCCACGTTTCATAATCTGTGACAAATTAGAAACAGAATAAAATTCAGCTCTGGAACAGTGTGCTATAAAAGATAAGGCTATGGCATTTACTATACAGCCATAAATCCTTCAGGAGATCTGTTCTCAACCCATATAAAACTCATTTCCATACAGAGTGCTTAGCTTTCTATTTCCCCAAACAAAAGCACATTTTATATTCACAATCCCTGCAACCCACGCTGCCTGCTCTGATTCCTGTGTTTTCAGCACTTAAAAACTATGCAAATCTTGCTGGGCTTTTATTCCTGCCCTCCACCTTTGTGACCTTGGTCAGCTTTTCTGACTGCTTAGTCAGAAAGCTATTGTGAAATTAGCGAAAATGCAGAAAGTGTTTAATTATTCTTTGCAGAATGGCAGAGCACGAAATTCCTGCCTCTGTTTACTCATCACTCCAGATTTCTTAAAGAAAAATATCTCCCTGCTTTGAATCCATTTTTAACAATTACCTGCTACACTGAACTAACTACATTTGCCTTGTGCTTTTTATGATTTGAGAAAAGAGATTCCAGCATACACCTTCACTGTAAGAAACCACCCTGTTTCCTTTCAAGACAGTGTAATGTTTCGCTCCAACCAACCTTTTGGCTCGAGCGATACGAATCTTCTCAAAATGATGACCTTGTCATCATGATTTATAGTTCTCATTTCAAGGTCATGCCTAACAGCATTGGTCCAAGAATAGCATATGTTTTCCTCCTCCTGAATCTGACAAAGTCATTCAAGGCAATCTTTTTGCCCTTACCTTTCCCATGCTGTTGTACTCCACTGCTATTTCCCGGAAGAAGAAGTAAATGTAATTGCCATAGTCCACTGCCTGGACAAAGTACGGTTCTAGAAGAAAAGCCAAGACATCCTATTTAGGCACCATGTACAGCATGTAGCACTCAAAGAGAAGCCAAATACATTCACACTAAACGTCCAAAGGTGAAATGCCTACATTAGGCAAACTTGCTCAGTTTTCAGAACTAGCAACATCACCACCGCAGAAGAATCACTGTCTGGGGACAGGACACCTGGGGACAAGTCTGTGCAAGATCACTGCAAGGTAGTAAAGTGTTTGCCGCTAACATGCCTGCCTTGTGTGGAGTGCGAGGAAAGGTACAGAGGCAATATATAATGGTATGCCTGAGGGGTGCAAGCAGTGCCCTTTATGGCACGCAGGCTGTATATGGAGGGAGTAACAAACCATGGAACTGTTTCTGCCCACACATGTCTGTAGCAGCAAGCAAAGTGGGACAGCTGAAGTTGACATCTGGCAAAACATTTCTGCAGAAAAAGACTTGAAACTATGACTTTGCTCACTGTTAAAATCACTCCAAATGCTAACTATTCATAACACCTTCGTGAAGCTAAACAGCACCGTTCTTAACAATGATGCCATTTACAGCACAGAAATTGCTTAATTCAATGGCAGCTGTACAGTCCCTAAGAACCATAAAAGAAAGGCTTTGTGCAATATTCTCATAACTTTATTTTCATTGATGAATCTTAACGTTAGAGGACAAACCCTCTATACTTCATGAAGCCTTGACTGTTACCTAATACAGTCCTGGGGCAGGAATATTTTTAAACACAGCCCAAGCACACCAAGACCTGCAAGTTCTAACCTTTATATCCAACAGCTGTAAACTGATGGATTTCAGCTCAGAAAGCTTGCTGGAATATATATTCTGATCTACCATGCTCGTAGTTTCTGTCAGGCCCACTAACTTGGGGTCAGGAGAAGAGGCAAAGAGATAAACAGATCAGTGTAAGTAAGAGATGTAATTTAGTTCCTTCTTTCTGCCAGAAAGCACTGGTGAAATGAAATGACAGAGAGGTCTGTCAGGAATCCAAGACTCTCATCAGAGATGCTGCTTTTCTCGTTTTGTTTGTTTATCTACCTTTCAACCACTTTGAGTCATGTTTAACTGTCCGCAGAGTTGGGCTGTCTCCAAGGCTCCGGTATATGACTGCATCTATTGCAAGGAAGTCGGTCACTGTGGCGGAGTACAGCTTTCCCTCTGGGGAGGAAGGAAAGAAGAAACAAGAGGGGAGGAGCATTAGAAATAATGTAATTGCTTTCTCTCATCAGTCAAGTGAGATGGGGCAAACAAAATCATCACAATCCTGAACACTGAAGGGAAAAAATCCAGCTAGGTAAATGGGACTGAGCACTGGACAAGCAAGTCACTACTTTTCAAAACGGTCATTTCAGAGGGATGCTGTGGGAGAAGAAATCTCATGGTGTCGTTCTTCTCTAGTTTAGGTAAGTCATACTGAACTATCCTTTCCATTTTCCCTGCACATGCCTCTGGTTCAATGCTCATAAATTCTGCCTACGTATGTGAGCAAAATAAATATGGGGAAGCCACAAAAGAACTGTTAGTTTTAACTGGGAGAGCAAACTAGACAGGTCTTAGGGACCGTCTGCTAATTGACACTTATGCAAATTTCTCCCTTTGAGAGCACTTCTCCTCTGCCAAAGATCACTAGCAAAAAATTAAATAGTGTGCAGGGCGCCCAGGCAAAACAGGGATGCAAAGAGATGGAGGAGGATTGCATATCTATGTTTCTTTTAGGCATTTCCCGCATGAATTATGTATTCTTATCTCTTCAAGAACTGGAGGACAAGCAATAAGAGTGAGTCTACAAAATGGCACCCCAAGGACAACCAAAAGATGCAAAACTATCAGGAGGTAAAACCATAAGCTCCAATAACATTTTTAAATCATATTTGTTGTTAATCTGTTTGTGGACCATGGTAACTGTACAGGGTTATTTCCACGTGCGAGGCAGATCTTGGAACATCATGTCTGGTAGGAGCACAAGCATCGTGGCAGGAGGACAGCAACTTGAGTTTCTGCTGTGTCCACGTAAAGGTCAGAATGGCCTACATCTCCTTTAACATAGACTATGTTGGATGCTGGGCCTTGAAGGCACCAGCACTGAGGACATAATGAGGACAAAGCAGAGAGGCTTCTATTAGTCAAGCTCTCCTCATTGCATTTACAGACAATGTTTAATTTCAGCTCAAGATTTAAAAATCAGACTGTTTTTTATTAGTAAGACTTTAGTCTTTGTTCTGAGCCCCACAATTCCCATCATTATTCGACTATTTTTTTTTTCTTAGCAAAACCAGAAAAAAACCCACAAAAAAAGCATATACTAAAACCAATTTTAAAATAGAATAAAAAGCTGAATTGTTTCGATATGGATGTCTGAACTCATGTTAATACAATCACACATTTATTTTCTTTCCTGTCAAGTTCCTGAAGACCATGTGACCAATTACAATTCACACATATAAGCTGTAATAGATACAGCCTGCAAGAAGAGTCATTTTCATGTAAGTGCACCCAACAGACTCAGATGAGCTGGATTAGTGCCCTAAACTGCTCTGAAACTGCTTTTCACTGCACTCTGAAAAGTTATCATGGGTATCAATATGCATGGCATATAAAACAGTGATTTTCTGAAGCTCGCAGATTTACAAGGTATATTCTACAATAATTTATTTGAACAATATCAAATTTATTCTGAATCATCGCAAAAGAATATGATAATTTCTATAAATATTCTTTTTATTTTCAAATAATGCTAGGACTTCTTCAGTGACAGAGTGGGAGTCATCTTACCAAACTTCAGCTGCATGCAAGGTAAATGTTTACATTAAGCTGGTCATAAATGTTTTCTTGGCCAGTATAGTGAGAAAAGCCCCTCTGAAAGGTCATTTAGACTGCTCTAAGGATAGGGAATCTGAGACACATGGGATAAATCTTTTTCTGAAGGTGTCTCTCTCTTTCCATGGTTTATGAATTACCTGCTACAATCACAGAATTTCTACTTTATGTTCTTTTGACTGTAATTAAGAAATGACATACTACCACCATCATCATCATTATTTTTGAAACAAAAGGACCCATTTATCTACACTATAAAGATTAAAAAAATTGCAACCTGCTATAAAATCTCTTCTTTGTGAGGCAGATGATGCCACCTCAAACACAATAGTGCTTAATACAGCTCTTTGGCCACAGACTCAGCTAGCTAAGAGCGGTTTTAGTTGCACACTTAAATCTTCAGAGGAATAGCTAAAGTATTTCCACATGAGCACCCAGGCTCTGCTTTCTAGCATCACACCTGCTGAAAAGGACTGACGTTATCACGGGCAATTTCTTTATTATCTTTACCATCTATTTTACAGCCAAATCTAAGAAAACATCAGCAGGGTTCACACTAAGAGAAGTTCAATAAAGAAACAATTTAATCAGGAATTCATGAAGAGAGATACAAAAATACCACACAATTAACAGCCCAAATTAACCCCATTAATAAGCACTCACTTTTTTAAACTATTGTAGTAGAAATCAGAGTTAACTGTATTCTGCTGCATGCAGCATAAATCATTATTAACCACCACACTTCTCTCCTTTGTCTACAACAGCTGGTAACACCACAGTGAGATGTTTTCTGCTTTAAAATAAAATCACCTTCCCTTTCCTTTTAGATCTAGAAAAGGGCACATTACAGCATGTCCCCTAACTTCCTTTTATTATGAAGGTAAACTTAAGCTTAGAGTTGTTAAAGAGCATATCCTGCCCACTCCTCATTAAAGTTCACACAAGCCTTGACTTTCACAGAAGCTGGATGCAGCCAGAAATGGTGCTTCACACTGGCCCGGCACCATATTATCACAAATCACAAATACTGAAATGTTGAACCGGAAACTGAGGCTTCAAGCAATGTTTATGATAGTGAAGTTAATCCCAGAGAAGGGAAGGCTTCTGTGCTAGTGATTTCCTTATGCTCCCTATTTTTAGTCATTATTCACTCCCTTTGCCACTTTTAAGATACTGGTATTCTGGACTCAAGAGATACAGGGCTATGGCAAGCCTAAGCTGCAAGACAGAAAGCAAAAAGTTTCTCTCTTTTACTTTACCTGCAAACAACGCAACGTTGGCATGCTTTGCATCATAGGGGCACCTGGCCATTCCACTGAATTCATCTCCCAGGAACTCCAGTGTGTCCATCTGAAAAATGAAAGGGAGCTCCTCAGATAGTGAAACAAAACTTCTCACCCAGGATGAGGCTTATGATAGTGTTTCTTCTTTTCTGGGCAGGGAGGAAGGTCCTTCCTCTAACTGTGCTCCTGACTGTGAATTAAAAACCTGAAAAAAATCACTGTGTTAAATAAAATCAGTCTGAGAGAAAGTGTGTCCAATTCAGGCATTCTTTTGAACCTAATCACTCTTACCCTGACACATTTTACAAAAGTCTTCAGTCTATATTTTATCTGTACACAAGCTTCCTGTTGAACTGTAGCAGGCTATGTGGTCTGTGGTTCTGGCAAGGATTCAAAATTTATCCTCAACAGTGATCCAACAGAAGCGCTCTTACACACAGAAAAGACTGCAAGCCACAGCAGTCAGAAGCAACACTAGGCCAATTATGTGTATGTGCATTTTTCTTCCCAAAGTCCGGAGATCCTTCTGCTCCAGTCTCAACAGTGGTGCTGTCTTCCTTGATTTGCATACTTAGAAGGATGCTCTTCAAGTCTTACTGCATCAGTTGAGTCTGTGTCACAGAGAAATCCTCTTACCATCAGGCAAGAATTAATCTGTGCAGGACTTGTAAAATCTGAGGCTTAAGTGTAACTCCTGGGAAATAAATTCACCCTAGGCACCGATAATGATACAAATACACAGATCAACTTTACGTTAAGTTCAAGAGGGTTTCGTGTGCTACAGGGGAAAGGTACAGCTCTTACTTCTTTAAGATTCTTATACGACCATATTTTAGGAAAAAGAATCTTTCTAGCATATTCAAGTAACTTGAGCAGCTCATACTGTATAAACCACATACAGTACAGATTCACAGACCATGAAAAATAACCCACCCGGCATCATCAACTACTCCAATCAACTTTTAGCTTATACGTTACAGCACTGAAGTGCTCCAGTGGATGACTTGTCATTATTTGTTTTCTGTCACGTATACTTCTTGTCAAAATCCACTCTGAAGGGAATTAGTAGTGATTACTCAAGGGCTGAAAAGCATTTCACGTGATACTGAGAGGAAGAAAGTTACACTCCTGAGCAACTTGCCCGGCACCAAGCCTCACATCCCAGGCTCATCCACACTTCCATTGGCAGGGTGGATGGACAGCCCTGATTTCTGTTTGGCACATCTTTAGTGCTCTCTCTATATAAGGCAGAAATACATGGAGGAAAAGCCAGGGTAGGTGTTGGAGAGACCTTCTGTTGACTCCTAGTGGTATCACTATCCAGCCCCCGCAGCTCAGCAACAGGTGAGACAGTCTGCAGAGGCCATACATCACAGGGAATGAAACATCTGCAGTAAGGGTAAGGAGAGCCATATACATCCCTCACATCAGGATGCCAAGGAAATCTGTATTTGTGTCAAAAGACAGCTTGCTAGCAAGGGGACTGATTGAGATTTGTTAGCTGCATTAATGGCATTGAGAGCTAAAAAATGACAAACTGTGCTGGAAGACTAAATACAGCACTGAGACCAAGAAGCTTCGTTGCAGCTAGGAACAGGATGCAAGGAAAGGAAGAAAAGAAGAAATTACTATTAGCATAGCAGCTACCTGTACCAAACAGTTACCATAATGCAGGCTTGTATTTTTATTCAAATTTGATTCTTCCTCCACAGACTGAAAGAAAAGACTACCCTGAATGTCTCTCCTCTGTTTCCTAGACTATAGCCATCACAGTGGCTAAACAACATAAAGGAGATTGCAGAAAAAGCAAGGAAGAGCAGCAGTCACAGTGAGTATCACTAAGGAAGTCGTTTTCCTCGATGTTAATGTCTTTACTCTGTTTTTTACAATAACTTTGAACCAAATGAAATGAATCAGAATTGTGCTGTGACTTTATCAGAAGCAGCATTAGCAAAGCTGAATTTTCTTTTTCCTAAAGAAGGATGAGAAATGATCTGTGGGACATAGCTGTACTTGGAAAAGCAGAGTCTGGATATCAAGGGCCTAAGTAAACTCATTTCAAAGCTACTCCAGAAACATCCACTGTTGGGGGTTATATCAGATTATACTGACGCAAGCCTGAGAAAATAGGAAATATTTGAAAAAAATGGGTCCTGTTAAAATGCAGATAACGGGGACACACTATGTCAAAGGAGGAAGAAATTGGGATCAAGGAGTTAATGTCAAGTATCCATGGATCAGCAAAATTTTCTACACTGCTCTAGATAATGTTCTGGCTTTGCAGATCCTCACCTAGTGAGGAATACATCACCCTCCTGCTGTACCTTTCCCTGTGGAGATCTGCTGTCAATCACTTTTACAGCACACAATGCCATAGGATCTCCACAGCTTCCATATCTGCTGGGTCCTCAACACTAATCCTCTCGGGTTTTGCTGTGCTAAGCCTTCAAAGCATCTTGAGAACTGGCTTTGGAATTGAGAACAGTACAATAGAGACATTTAAAAGATGCTAACCCAGAGGTAACCCTCAGCATCAGCCTATGACTTGATGTGGGTGTCAGTGACAAGCTGAGGAACTTTTTGAGGAGTGACCACATCCCCAAGCACGATCTGAAGGACTCTGCACCTATGGAGGGCAATGGAAAGTGGCAATAAACTCTTGATGTGCAGGAGTTGCAAAGAAGCAGGTAATCAATCCGAGCAATCCTCAGGAATCCAATCAACATTGAGCTCTGCAGCACTGAAACAAGTCAGGATATACAGAATTGAATGATACAGTGTTGAATGACAATCCCATGCTGTGCCATAGTCACAATAAACCCAATAGAACGACAAGACATAAATGAAAACCCACAATCAGATCACATACCTTATAGTTCCTGCAAGAAGGGTTGAATGCATTTGTTCCACAGATAAACAGTGTATCCTCATTTCTTTTTAGGAGAACCTTAATAAAATTATGACATTCATCCTGAAGAAAAATAATAAAAAGTATTTCAACTACTGCATTTTGGGTGTCTGGTTTTATTTTTATGCCATGATATTTCACTGTCAGGTCTAAAATGAAATTGGCTGGTAGCCACTGTGATATCCTGGGCTCTATTTCAACTATGTTTAACTGACAATGAGCAAGACGCAACTGATTTATATTCCAGCAGTTTAAAAATGATTACAAAGAACTGAGAATATGATATTCATATTATAGCTCAGATTTTGCTATTGTTCACATAGGTGAATTTT